TTTAAGTGAGGCTTAAAAACTGTGCCTTGGCTAGTAAGGTGCAGAGGAGGGTCTTTTATTTTCCACTTTGCTTGTCTTCATGATGCTTTTTAACTTCTGTATCACCGACGATGCTCACACACGGTGACTGGAGGTCAGTTGGCATAAATGTAACAGAGAGAAGCCGAATGAGACAGGTCAGGAAAGTTCAAAGATCACCATCTAGGACCACTAGTTGACCAGTGAATACAATAAAGGGGAAGTCTACTTTCTGATCGATCCAAGTTAACGCTCGCGATTTCAGAAGTTTGCAGTTAATTAAAAAAAAAGAAAAAAAAAATATATATTTTAAAGTCATATATATATTTTTTAAAACTTAAACACATGAGATGTACAGTCAGTTTTAGTTCTCATTCATTTCTATCCTGGTAGATGTCATCCATTTGAGAGCAACTCAAAACAAAAATAATTCATCGTATCGTCTGTGATTGCGTCTTAAGAGTCTGCCGTCACTTTCTGACTGGTTGCTGAGCTCCTGGGTGAGGGTGGGGTCAGGCAGTGTCCTGAGGAGGGGTCGGGCTGGGGGCAGACCTGCGCCAGGTTCTTCCCTTTCTCCTCCTCTGCACATGGCCTCACCACCTGTGACTCGTTCCTTCTATGCAGTGAAAATGTAGATGAAGAGGATCTTGAGGAACCCCGACATCATCTGTTAAATCACACGCCCTAAGGGCTGAGCCCCCTCAGTGGCCTTGCCTTCACAAAATGCCACATTTGAGAGCTTTTTTCTAGGCCTAGTTCTGTGGTCAGCCATCCGGGAAACAATGATCTAGGTTAGCCTGCAAAAGGCCCACATGCTATCAGAGATCTTTTTCCTGAAAACGTTGACATGGGGAAACATTCAAATCAAATGCTTTTTATAAGTTATAAGGAAACCATGCTGAGGCTAATTTTTTCTCCCCCTTTGGCAATGCTGTGGAGCATATTACATTATGTTCCCACAATGGCATAAAATGTATGTCTTATCACTTGAACATAGCCCAGACAATGAAAGGGCGCCCGAGACTGGAAATATGTCTTCTGTGAAAGGCCAGACCAGCCGTAAGTGATAACACCAATGTGGGGGATGGAGAGAGTGAAAAGACAGGGCTACAGCACAAAAGTTCGCAGACCAGCGACGAACGCACTGGGGTTTCGGGGATCCCGCCCCCGCCCCACCCCCCCCTGAAGACCCTGGCCCAGTCACATGGAACTCTCTCATCTTACTGTCTTGATATGCAAAATGGGAATTCTGTTCTAGGGCTGTGCTGGGGTAAATAACATTACTGGAACTGGCTTCCCTTCCAATGTCAGGTGGAGGTGATATTTTGTTTCCTGGTGCCGGGAATTTGGTTTTTGTTTTCCTGTTTGTTTTCGTACATATGCAAGTGCCCGCAAGTATTTTCTGTCTCAAAAATCCCCATTGCTCCTTCTGGCGCGGTGATTCATCAAGAATCTTGGCCTGAATGTCCTGCTGTTTGAGGGAACGTGGACTCTGGGGAATGAACTGGGAACATGGTCATGACCGTTCAAATGGCCTCGTTACAGGCGACCGGGCATGAAGGGGACTCTCACGGAGCAGACGAGTAAGTCGTGGCTTAGGTTTCACGTGCTGAGCCCTGTTTGGAGACTTCATAAATTGGCACCATTCTATGCCAGCAGTACAAGGCAGGGCCAAGAGGCTGAGCTGGCTGAACGCCCCGTGGGCACCCCTGGCCGACGTCCCCCGAAGGAAGAGCTGCAGCTTAGAAGAAAGTCTTATATGGAAGAGCCATTTAAGAGTTTTGTTTCTTAGTATAAATGTTGGGTCAGACGGTGAAGAGATAAAAAGGCTTATCTGAGGGAATATAGCGCTAGGATGTCGACGTCTCGGGGAAAGAGACTTTCTTTTTGGTGCTGATCATCTTTCCCTCTGCCAAAAAACAAACGAACAAACAAAACCCAAACTTTTCAGAGGTTTCTAATGGCTAAAAAAGCCTGCTTGTCGGTCCCCCATGACTTTATTAGTGTCCACATAAACAGAGATCCCATAAAACATAGGAATAAATATAAAGGTACTAAAAAAAACTTGGCATCTTTTGTTTTGGAAAGCAAATGACAAATCTGAAACTGGATACAACGAGCCACTTTTTAAGACTTTTAAATACTTGATTCAAACTACTCTTAAGTCTCAGGGACCCTACCTTACACGCTGATCTTCTAGTTGGAACAAATTTAGAGTATTGCTTTTCAGAATTTGTCACAAAATAAGTTTCTTTTAAATTGGTGCCTTAACATGGTTGTAATTTTAACTTTCAAGGGCTTTGATTCCAAATTTTAATTGATCAGTGTTTTGGGAATAAAATATTGTCTGGATGTGCTCACAATGGAAACTCAGGGGAAGGAGACAAGTCTTCAGAAGAGAAAATGTTGCTGTATCAGTGGATCCAGTCACCCAGGGGTAAGGGACTGTGCCCACTGTGGTGCGAGACACCTTGCACTCTCTTGTGCCATCTCCTCCGACCATCACGGGGGGTAAGCAGGGCAGAGGTGATTACCTGTGTAACAGATGAAGTAACTCACGTGCGGTGAGGAGAGGTGGTTTGCCACTGCCCCCACTCGGAGAACAAGCAGAGCCCTGATGGGAAAGGACACGCAGTGCTCGGGATCCTGTGTTTTGTGGGTCTGTGTGTATGTGGAGAGACATACAGATGAAATCTCTTTATTGGCGCAAAGCTGGGGCTGTTGTATTGTCACTCAATTCAAAAAGAGAAGAATATAAACTCATAAACATGTGAAAAATGCATTTTCTAACACCCAAGTCACCAGAAGCGCCCTGGTGCGGACAGGGGCAGCGGCCAGAGAGTCAGGGGGACTCACCTTAGGGGTGAGGATCTCACCACGCCGAGAGCCAAGGATTCCAGAACACACAATACCCGGAAGTTGCCAAGGGCACACGCAGATGGTGTAATCAATGACAAATCAGAAACAGGACATGAATTATGGGAGAGGAAAGAAACTCGGGCCCGTGGCTCCAGCTCTGAAACCCAGAGAATTCCACAGGGCGTTGTGAAAGTCAAGCCCTGGGGTCAAGCAGGTAGAGATCTGCCTCCTAAAAACCCACTGGCAGGAGAGCAGAATGGCAAAACAACGGGAGGAACTGGGCCGGCGGCTGAACTGTGCATGATCTGCGCACAAAAGCCGCGGGCAACAGGAAGGGGCGGCAGAGTTCCCCAACCTGGAAATAATAATCGTGCGGACCCAGACGCTGGCCCCGTGCACGGTACACAATTTGCAGGCGCTGTAAAGTTTAGTTGTTGATATGCACTGTTGATATCAATCGTGTGCACAGTTCCGTTAGCTGAATGAGACATTTTTTTAAAAAGCAAAATTCTGGTCTCCAGTTGGTGTCATTTTGATCCATGCACTTTTTTAAAAAACAAAACAAGAACCTCTGTTTCAGAACATAGGATGTTTTGAAGGTTATATTCTTGGCATTTAGAAAAGTAAACAGCCTCTTGGCTTTTGGACTGTGGCTAAAATCATAGGGTGTTTTTTTTTTTTTTTTTTAAATTTGTCTCTAGGCAGAAGATAAATCACTTTGCACCAGAGAGTAAAAAATTACTCTTGATGGCCATACTTTTAAAATATATCAAAGGATGACCATCAGTCATTTAAATGATATTCATAAAATGTCTGTTTGATAGATGAATGCACCTTGGACACGGTATCTACTTATCTGTTAAAGGATATTGCCTAGGAAGGGGTGAGAAAAGCCAGAAGTTTGGGATTTAGAGATGAGGGGAGGCAAATAGGAGGAAGACTCTGCAACAGCGAAGCAGGAGGGCACAGAATACACTTCTCAAGTCTCCAGGAGCCAGGTAAGGGTCTTGGCTAAAGGTGCTGACACCGAAGTAATTCAGTAAGAGCGGAAGAAGAAAAGTTTCAGGAGAAACGAGGTCTGACTTCCAGCCTCCAGGCTGCAAGAGAATAAATCCCTGTTTAAGCCCCCTGGTCTGTGGGACTTGGTAGGACAGCCCTGGCAAACTGCTACCTTCATAAAACCCCGTACAAGAAGGTTTGGCCCTAACGCGGAGCTCCAAGGGCATTGGCCACGTCCAGCCCTATCACTGCGCAGAGGCCGCCTGTCGCCCCCGCGCCCACTCCTCCCGGCTGTCCTCGCGGCCTCCGGATCCCACCTTGCAGGCTTGCTTAGCCCACTCCTCCTGGAGACCCCTGCAGCTCTCCCAGAGCTGGGGTCACAGCAGACAAGTGCGCCTGGCACCCCACTGTCAGGCTTTTGGAAAGCAGAGCGTATCTTCTACCACATCTTCTCCTTCAGGATCGAGGGAAGCGTTTGGTGTTCTCTATGCTGCCATGGATGCCAATTTGTACATCATGTTCATGTCCCGTTTTTTTTTCTTTTTTAAATAAAAGCTGTAGCTCCTTTTGCACGAAAGCGTACCTTTCTGAGCCCGCGAACAAATGAGTGTGAGGGGCAGCACACACACGAGAAAGGGGTGGGACACCGGGTGGCAGGTCCTGGTTTGGGCACCAGCCCACACCCTGGACACAGCACGACAGGCACTGGCGGCGGGGGTGGGGGGGAGAGGAGCGTCTGGGCGGAGGGTGGACAGGCCTCAAGGTCTGAGGCAGCTGTGGCAAGGCCGGCTCTTTCACACTAGCTAGTGAGGTGAAGTACCTAGAGTCTAATAGGATTTCCTTTGTCCTTGTGAACTGGACTTTGGCTGACAGTCAAAAGGAGGAGGGTCTAGCTTGGTTGGTGACTGACAGCGATTACAGGATTCTGTTAAGGCAGACGCGTGGATGCTGAGAGTCCATCCAAAAGCCCCGAGGCGACATCGCCGCGGTGTGGGCATCACGTTTCCCCCAGAAAAACCTGTTTGTGTGGCCGGGACCACAGAAGAGCAGCTCCAAAGGGGACACCAGCAGCTACTACAAGCAGAAGGCACCTTCCCCATCCATCCCTGGGTGCAGATTCCTACCTAAGATCCACGTTTCTGACAGATACTTGGTGGTCGCCTTCCTCCTTCCTTGGGAGGGTCCGATGGAGATGCCGGCCTGGTGGGGGATTCGCGTGATCTGACCCCCACACAGGAGGACCAGTTCCCGCAGCTTGGTTCTGGGGGGATTGCTGGCCGGGGTGATGAACATCACAGGCTGGTCGGCAAACAGGGTTCCCCGGTACTGCCCTGCAGACAGACCACGCTCCAGGCGGCAGAGCTGTGGGGCAGAGACAGGGGTGGTTAGCAAGGCACCCATCATTCCATTACGTGGATAGGTCGGCCATAGAGCTCACTTCCTTTTTTCAGAAGAGTAGACCAAAGGTAAGGTTGTGCGTTCTCAGGTGAATTCTGAATTCTGAGGATTCAGGGGAGATCATAACATTTAATGATAATGACAGGTCACAAGCAAATAAAATTGACCTTTGCTGAAGCAGCTTGCAAGCAAAAGTACAAACAAATTTATAGCCCCCACCCCCCCAAAAAAGGTTAGGCTTTTGAATTATTACAAATTCTAAACCAAAATAGTGAAAAGGAATCAACCGTTCAGTTGACTGAGGAGAACAGCATCTGCATCCTTAAATCGTATTCAAGCTATGAGTGTGGATGAGTGTGGAAGAGAAAATGAGAGTGTTGGAGAAGGAAGCCCACCTGCCCTGGACCAGCAGCACAGACGGTCCCAGGCCCGGAAAGGGGCCTGCCTCAGGCACCATGGTGTAGATGGGCAAAGGGAGGTTGCAATTATATAAAGCAGGGATCCTAGAGCTCTTCCCGGACTCCTGAGGTGGTGGGGGGTGGGGTGGGAAGTATGCAGAGGTTGCTTTCACTGAGTCATCATGGAAATGGTGATGAGGAGTATCGGAGACACTGGGAAACATTTCAGAAACAGGGATGTTAAATTGTTCTCCTTTTTGTTCTGATAAAGTTGTGGTTGACTGGTGGACCCAAGGGACAGTGGGAAGGCCTGCTTATTCTAAACAAACGTTTCACTAACTACAGATTAATAAAGACTTCTTTTTAAGTGCAAATACCCTCTCGGAGATGTCAAGGGTGAACTGTCATCCACATTTTGAGTATTTTAATCAGCTTATTTCCCTGAGGATGGAACTGAACATTTGAGATAAGTGGGCTCAGAGAAACTCTGACTGGAGATATGTGGGAAGAGAACTCGAGGGGTGCATCTCAGGGGAGTGTAAACTGCGTGGGGCAGCGTGGCGGGAAACAGGGCAACAACCAGCCCCAGAGCACAGAGAGGGGCTGGCTCTGGAGGTAAGAGGGCAGCACATGATACCTTCCTCCACCTACATCGCTGACAAAGTCGAATGAATTCTTCTTCCACTAGGTTTTCATAGTCAGAAAAGAATCTCATGATGAAAAAATTTGCTTCAACATTAATTGAATCAACCCAGTATACTTAAATATGGCCATGGAATTCTCTTCACTCCTCACCAGTTTTGAATTATGCAACGTAAAACATCACATTTAAGCACCTTCATCTGATTGGGTAAGTGGTACAGGATCCTGACAATGAAAGCAACAGTTTTACTCGTGTGTTAACTTTGATTAATGCTTCTAGGAATTTCTAATATTCCTCTGAGATAGGGGGTAGGGTCTCATTTAATTTTGCAGATGAAGACGCAGAGGTGGAAGACCACCAAGATATCTGCTTTGGCTAAAATGGTGAGTCAAACTGCAAGAAAAAACCCACGATCCTTCAACTTGGTGAGTCACTGGACCATGTTGCACTGTAACTAGAGATCAAGAAAGAATCTTACTAAGGTTGATACAATCCTTCATTTAAAGAACCATAAAAGTAGTTGATAATTGAAATGATACAGAAGGTTATTAAAGTAAAAGGAATTTTCCTACGTTAAATACTGCTGTATGTTATTCAAATTCATTCTTTTCCTTTCCTCCTCAGGGGCAGGGCACGGTTTCTGTGGGGGTACTAACCTCTGCAGATCCATGTATTCAAGATAAGGGACCCTTCCCAGCTCAAGGTAAGACTCAGCATTGGTCCAAGCAAATCACAGTGATCTCATTTCCCTTGCAAAGGACTGGGTCAAGCATGCATTGGACTTGATCATGGCCAATGGGATCTGAGAATAAGTCCGCTGAGGGCAGTCTTTCCTCACTAATATAAACTAATGCATATGCAAAAATACCTCTTATTGGCTGGACTCTGTCATGTTGACAATAGGATACCTGGAATTACTGAAGCTACCTGAGGCCATAAACCATGCTGAAAATGGCCAAGTGGGAAGGCCTGGATCCTCAATCACCTTTCTATGTCACTGGATTGACCAAGCCAGGAATTGTCCTTTTTTTTGTTCTTTCTATGTCAGGGGCGGTGGGGGGGTGGGAGGGAGGGGGGAGTATGATTTTTTCATTTCTTTAAGCTACTTGTGTGTTGAGATTTGTGGTTCCAGGAGCCTGAAGCATCCAGATGCTGCAGTCCTCAGACCCCTGCCACCTACCAGAGGTAACCCCTGGTAAGTGTTTGCTGTGTTTTTCTAAATTCTATACAATGTTCACACACAAAAGCATTCAGGATACAGTTTTTCTTAAAAACACAAAAAAATAGGATCAAGGATATATCTTGGTATGTGAATAAGCAGTAAATCAAACCCATATTTAACCCAAGAGAAAAGGACATATGTAAGCCTTTCAAATGGTTAGAATGTGACTTGAGTAGCTGACCGCTTTGAGTCTTCATTCCCCTCCCACATTTACTGAGTGCTTACTGTCCACCGGGCACGTGCAAGATGCTGGGGAAGCAGAGAGGATTAAGACATGGTCCCTGACCTCGGTGTAAAGCACGTAATACGAAAGTCAACAAATGAAAATACTTCCTTTTATTTATTTATTCAGCTTGAAATTAAAGGAGGCAAAGAATTACAAAGATCTTATTCTTTACTCAAAATAATTGAGACTACGTGCATGCTGACTTTCTAATCCTAAGTAAAACAATTTCTGGGAAAGCTTAATCAAGATTTAGGTTGCCTAAAATTAAAAATTAATTTGGGAATTTATCCTAGGAATACAGTCCTTTATGTATATGAGGACACGCATGGGCTGGAGTTCATTGCCATAGAAACGATGACTGGCAAGTTCTATTTATATTACGGGTATGGTAGGACCCACGATTCTCCTTATTACTGAGCTTCAGCTATGTGCATTCTCTAAGGGATGGTCTCCAGAACTCGATCCTTCCCCAGTACTGCTCCAGGACAGACTGCCCCTGTTGCTCAGCCCCGTGCCCCCCTGGCGCTTTCACATCTTCGGTCCACAGGGGCCTATAAACACGAGTTCCAGTGCAGCCTCGCCCCGGAGACCCCCATTCTGTCTCTGAAAGCACAGGCCAGTCACTGGCTTTTTAAGAATCCTGACCATGGCTGGTCAGCTTTACTCTCTAGCCCAGGGCACCGCTGTGCCCCCACTGGTCCATGCTGTAGGTGCCAGATGACGCCCTCTGAGCATGCCCCCTTACCCCGAAAGGCTTACAGCTTATTATTACCATTGCCTTCGCCATCGCTTTTGTAATAGCAATCAATTCACGGCAATGTGCCCCAAATCCTGATTCCATTTCAAACTTGTCAACACACGTGCAGTGCAAATGCCGTCAGCGGCAGAAATGGGTCTGGGTGGCAGTGGGCGCTAATGGAGGCTGGTGGAGGGCATGGGCTCACTGCAGGAGCGATCGTGGCGACAGCCTCAGAGGTAACCAGGTTTATCGACACTGACCTAGAAATTTCTTGCTAACTGTGGTTAAAAGATTTTTAAAAAAAATCATAACTAAAAAAAATTATAACTCTTACAGTTCATTTTATTTAACTCAGATGCGATAATGTTTCCAAGGAGAATTAACACATGGATAGATTGGGAATATGGAGACGAACCTGCAAATGAGCCAAACAATTGGCTTTTCCATGGGTGTGGGGGCCTTCCCTCCACCAGACAGGATTCAGTTCATGCCCATAGACAAGATTCGGTTGCACTGCCCCTGGATCGTTACAATTTACAGAGCTGTGAAAGATTCAGAGGCAGTCTAAGCCAGAACCGCGCAGTCTGGAAAGGTGACCTCAATCTAAAAAAGTATAGTTGTCCAAGGAAGCACTAAATGTTTCCTACAAAGCCCAGGGTGTCAGCTGAAAAATGATGGAAGAAAAGGGGATTAAGTGGAGGTAAGGGACTCCTCTAGGCTTAATTATCGTCCACCATAAACGGGACAGGTCAGGAGTCTGGGTGAGTTTGGGGTAGAGTTCAGAAGAGTTCCCAATTTTCTCTATGGTGATGTAAAATCAGTACATAAATTAATATACACGTGTGTGTGTGTGTTTAAGACAAGGAGAGGGCTGACAGAAGGCAGAAATCTTTCTCTGCCAGGAGATCTTCATCTGAACCCTTGGCTGTGGAGGATGGGGACTATGGAAGGGTCTCAGTAAAACAAAGACATTATCTGTGCTTTATAAAATGTTGCCTTTGCATTTGTGTCTTCATCAAAAAAGCGATACTGATTTAATGGCTCAGAACCTTCCAATCTATTTACAAGGCAGCCAGTCAAGGCAGACTGTACTGTTGACAAAGCTGAGCAGAGCAGAATTCCACCCACCCACCCACCCCCGTCCATGCTTCTAGCTTCGATGACTCCCAGATATTTAGCCCTGACCAAGATGTCAGCCCCATGGCGGGGAGGGTATTGACGGCTCATTTACTCCAGACACGGGGCTTAGATTTCAGTTGGTGAATGTGCCTTTCCTTCCAGGTGGAGCTCACCTTGATGATGATTCTGAATCACTGACGGTTTCCATAGGAACCAAAAAGCCACATACAGACTTTTGGCTTGGAGAGTGAGTAGAAAGGTGTTTGCTCTGAGAAAAGCACATGGAGGGGCACTTCAGGTCAATGGTGTCCGAAAGATCATAGTTCAGGATCACTGCAGGTAAGGGATGAGGGGCTTGCCAGGTGATCACAGTAACAAAAACTAACTTCTAAAAGCACTGAAGTATGTGCCATGGTGACGAGGCTGAATAAGGGGGGGCCAGCTGAATCCTGATTATATAGTCAGCTACCTAGTTAACGGGGAGCCATGAAATCCTCATGTGGGGGTGGGGAAGATCGCGCTGCAGACAACAGGGAGGTGTGGAGAGCAGAAACAGGCGGACCCAAAGGAAAGAAGTGCGGTAATTTCAACAAGAATTGAGGCAGGGCAGGGGGAGCAGGAAGGGAAGTGTATTCAGGATGGAACAAGAAGGCAAATTCAACAAGAATCCTGTTGTCTTGTACGCTTCTATTATAATGGGGACGGGTTAGCTCCAGAGTCATGAACAGAGCCATGAATGCTGCGTGTAGCAAAGCTCAGCTGTTGGGTGTTTGAGGTTTCCAGCAAATCCTACCTCTCTTTTCCCCCAGTTCAACTGGGAGAAAAGATACAGGTGCCAAACACAGGAGAGCAAAATCACTTTCATTGGGCCTTGGACCTATGGCCATGTGAGTTTGCTAATACCGCCCTGACGACCTAGGAGGCACCCCCAAAGGCGCGGTTGGCTCTGCACCAAGTGCTTTCCTCAGGAAGGCAGGCAGGTGCAAAACGGGTGCAGAAGGAGCTGCATCAGGATGCCTGTGGGGCTGCCTCTGCTGGGCGGGGGCGGAGGAGGGAGGCGGCGGGAGGCCCGGCAACACGAGGCTCCTCCTAACACCAACATGAGCGTGCAAACAGCTGTGGTACAGTGAAGCTGCTCACGCTCGGTCACCTGGGGCAATCAGACTCGCGCGAAGTCCCCGCTCCGCAGGAGCCCAAAGATCCCAGCGCTACCCATGCAAAAGAGAACAAGTTAGACCCTGAGACAACTGTTTGGAAACACAAAATTGAGAAGTTTCACCTTCTAAAAATGTCAATGCCTACACCTGACCATGCTTAATGGGTTGAATATATCAGACGTAAAATGAACTTGTCATTGGTACTGAAGAGAAAAAACAAGGTCTGTGGTCCTGGGAAATTAAAAAAAAAAAACTTTTATGGGATTTAAGCAAATGTAAGAAATGTTACAAAGACAAGGTCTTCAAATGATGACACAGTGACTCCTGAAACTCTGCATGGACCCCCCTCAATTTTTTTTTTTTTAAGATTTTATTTATTTGAGAGAGAGAGTGAGAGAGAGAGAGAGCACAAGAGGGGGGAGCGGGAGAGGGAGAAGCAGACTCCCTGCTGAGCAGGTAGCCCGATGCGGGACTCGATCCCGGGACTCCAGGATCATGACCTGAGCCGAAGGCAGTCGCTTAACCAACTGAGCCACCCAGGCGCCCCCCCCCTCAATTTTCAATGAAAGTCTGTTCTTGCTGCTCTCTGCAACTTCCACCCCCACCCCAACTGGCCCACAGCTTTGAGTCTTACCTGCTCAGGCAGCCTGGCCCCCCACCTCACTGCGACTGCCCTTCCTCTCACTGCCCAATCGCTATACCCCAGCTCGGTGTCCCTCCCGTCCTAACTCCTGGAAAGTTAAAAAGACACATAAGTGACCCTTTGAATACCCTGTATCGTCCCAAGTGCCTGGACCCCCCTTTCCTGCACCCACCTCGGGCTCTCACGCAGGGTACCAGAGTCTCATACCTGGCAATGCCCTCTCCCCTCCAAAGCTTACAGCCCATGGCCGGTCGTTACTATCGTTCCCATGACTCCTCCATCCTTCTCCCTGTTAGCCTGGTCCCAGTCAACTGCTGCCCACTCCCCTCCCCGCTGCCGCCCACCCAAGGGCAGGAAGGGACACTGTGCTAGTTCCCTGAGACACAGCCACACCTGTTACTGTAGATAGACTGTCCCCCTTTACTGTCCGCTAGGAGTCCCGCCCCATCCATTCTCCCTTCCTCCCCTGACCATCAGAGCCTGCTTGCTGTATTCACACCTGCACAGACAGTCCCGGCATCCTGCCCACCCCCAAACCTCTCCCTTGGTCAGGCATCCCCCTCTTCCTTGTGTCCTTTCCCAGGACAACTCCTTCAAAAAGCAGTCCCCGCTGGCCTCTCCTTCCCATCCTCTCTTCCATCCACAGTCACCCCACTTTTGCTCCCACGGCCCCTCCCACCACCAAGACCCCCCAGGGCTGACTCCTCTCCCAGGGCTGAGCAGGACAGGACGCTGGACACTGCAGCCCCTCCCTCCACTTCAGTCACCTTCTTTGCTTGGCTTCTAGCCCATGTTCCTAAATCTCCTCCCTTCCACCCTGGTTGCTGCAGCTGTGGTGGATCTTTCTCTTCTTGCTCCAGTGCCACAGCTCTCCACGCTGGGTCTTCGTCTGCACTCGCTCCCTGGTGACCTCGTCCAGCGTCCGGGCCTTAGACGGCTTCCGTGTGCCTGTGATGCCCACATTTTGTCTCTAGCTCAGAATCCCAAGCCAAGGCACTCCCTTGGCCTCTCCCCGGGATCTCTAACAGACCTTGCAGGCCCAAACCAGCCTCCCCTCCTCCTGCAGCCTTCTCCATTTCTGGCCGTTCCATCCTTCCAGACGCCCAGGCCCAAGACACGGAGGTCAGCTTCTTCTTCACAACACATGCAGATGAGGACCATTCCTCATTGTTCTGTGCTCCAGTCCAAGTGAAGCCAACACCACTCACCTGGGTTAATGCCTCTGAGCTGGTGTCCCTACTTCTAAATGTGTCCCCCCTTCAGACTCTTCTCAACAGAGTGAGAATTTTAAAAACCTGTCCGATCATGTCTCTTCTCTGCTCAAAATGCTGGTGCCTCATTTCATTCAGAAGAAGAGCTGAAACCCTTGATCTAGGCACCATGACCACTGCTTCCCACTTACCTCTTAGCACCTTCCACCTAGTTCATGCCCCACCCCCTTCTCTGAACACACGGGAATACTTGTGCCTCAGGGCCTTTGCACCAACTTTCCCCTCTGCCTGGGATGTTCTTCCTTCAAATGTCCACACGGATAATTCTTTTACTTCTTTTGAGTCTTTACTCAGCTGTCAGCATTTCCATGTGGCATCCCCCCAAAATCCCAACGCCTTTATTCTTTTTCTCTTGCCACACATTTTATTGGCTTCTAAGATAATATACAATTTATTCCATGTTCGTCATGCTAGAACCTAAGGGCAGGACTCTTTGTTTTGTTCAGCGACATATCCCCAGCACCTAGAACAATGCCTGGCACATAGTAGGTGCTCAGTTATGCCTGTTGATCAGTGAATTTATTGAGTGACTATGGAGAATTGTGTTTGGGAGTCTGATTTCAGGACAACTTCTACTCTAGCTACTGCCCTCCCCAGGGGGATAGCACAGCAGCAGTGACAAGACAAAAAGGATTTCCAGGAAAGGGCAGAGAGCAGGGTGGACGGGCACCCTGGGAGAAAGTTCCATAGCACAGTAGGGCCTTCAGCTATGGAAATGCATAGATGGGAGACCAAGTACCTCAAGTCTGGGAGAAACAAAACCGGAGAGGAGGTGGATAGGTGGAGACAGGGAGGTGGTCAGCCAAGGCACGAGCGAGCACCTGTGTCCGCGGCAGACCAGGAAAGAGGGGGCAGAGGACGGGCCAGCTGGGGGAGCGGGCAGAGGGTGCCGGGGCACAGGTGAGCATCTCGGGACACGACGCTGGGCATTGCAGAGGACGCACTGGAAAAGACAGGAGTGGTGCTGGAAGAGCAGGGGGTGGGTAAGGGTGTAAATCACTGGGGTCACAGAGGGGTTGACAAGGGGGGTGCATCTACAGGACACCCTGAAGGCAAGAAGGTAAGAGCTGCCGATGGGCAGCATGTGGGGGACGAGAAGGGGGGGCTCCAGAGGAACTCCCGCCAAGATGGCAGGAGTGCTGATTCCATAGAGACTGGTCCAGCTGCGGGGAGGGCAGGGGTGGGGGGTGCAAGCCAGTCAGTAGCCAGACCCACACTCAATTGTCAGTCGCTGGCACTCAGAGTTTAAGCCTGCTGCAGCTGGTGCCCACACACTTTTTTTTTTTTTTAAAGATTTTATTTATTTATTTGAGAGAGAATGAGATAGAGAGAGCATGAGAGGGGGGAGGGGCAGAGGGAGAAGCAGACTCCCCGCTGAGCAGGGAGCCCGATGTGGGACTCGATCCCGGGACTTCGGGATCATGACCTGAGCCGAAGGCAGTCGCTTAACCAACTGAGCCACCCAGGCGCCCTGGTGCCCACACACTTCTGACTGGTGTCCTCCTGGGACTCACGGCAGAGCCCAAACCCCTGCACCAAGAGTGAGTTTCCTTTACGGTCTCACATGGTTCTTCCACTCTGTAATACATCAGCTTGTTGTACTACTAACATGTTCTAAATCCTTATCAATAAGGAAGCACATCCCAGGGAAAGTCAGGGCATGCACAGCTCAGGTCAAGAAACATAGCTAGAGTGACCTCTGAATGCCGCTCACCTTTAGAATGAAATACCCCAGCATCAAAAGGGATTATGTACATCCAAATTCTGCATTTTATAAACAGACCAAAGCCGAGAGTAAGGAGGTGCTGGGAGCCACACAGTGAGTAAAACAAGTGGACTGCAACAGAGGGATCCAGGAGCTCACGTTCCCACATACCGACCAGGAGCGGTGCACAGGGCTGGGGTGGCAGGGAGGACAGCAACCATGAAGAAGCATGCACGATCCCTCCAGGCAAGTCCCCTCCCTGCCACCACCGGTGCCACTCTGAGCTTCAGTTTGGGCTAATACCAACACGGCCCAGGGGTAAGGGGACAGGACAGGAATGCACGGGGCCACGCAGTTAAGGCAAGTCATCCTGCCCTCCTCCTGCCTGAATTCTTGACAACATCCCCGCCCTCTGAAACATCTGGTCCTCCTGGCCTAGGACGTGTCACCCCTGGCTTTCTCCCTCAGCCCTGCTCATCTTCCTTTCCAGCCCCCAGATGCTGACAACTCACAGCCCCCTCCTCTACCTCCACAGAGTCCTCTGACACTCCCCACTTAGTACAGAGATTTCCTCTGCCCTCTGGGACCATTTAACGAACTGAGTGCTGGCCTCTCTTTCTGGAACATTCACAGGCCCTGGGCACCCGACCACATCTAAATCTTAACTCGTGCTCTTCATTCTCAAACCAGGTCCCACTAAATCACAGCTAAAAGTTACTAAGAGCTGACTGTGTGCAGTTAAGCACCTCCTGTGAGTTAGCTCATTTAATCCTTGAAATAAACATCTGTGAGAGACATTCCCTGTGTGCAGCTGATAGTGGAGAATGACACAGACTCAACCTCCACGAGGTCACAGAGCTGGGAAGGGAAGGAGCTTGGATGCTAACCCTGCCAAGCTGTGTTCTTGATAATTACACAATACTGCTTTCAGAATCTCAGGGAAGGCGACCCGCCACCTGGGCGTCATCCTTGACTTGCTTCTTGCCCGCACCTTCCAGTCCCACTTTATCACCAAGTCCAGTGGGTTTTGTCTCCTGAGCATCGTTCCAAGTCCAGCCTCTTTAACAGCACCATCACCACCCTCGCCAACCTGCAGCTCGCAAACTGGGTCAGGACCTACCCGGGGTCCACTCCTGCGCCCTCACGTAGGTAAGTGCATAAAGTACCCTAACCTTAAGTTTAGAGCTTACACGTATGCCCGTGTAACCGTGGCTGCCATCAGGACGCTGACCGTCTCCAGCTCTCCAGGGGGTGCCCCCTGCCAGGGAGGACTGCCACTCTGAGCGCGCTCATCATCGGTGACACGGCTCTGCTCTATTACCAAACTACAGAAATGGAGTCATGTGGTACGTACCCTTTTGTATCTGGCTTCTTTCGCTCAGCACAATATCTGAACACATACCCTCTTAAAACCCTCCAATAGCTTCCTACTACTCAGAGGAAGAAAAAAAAAACTCAAATGGCCTAGAAGACCCCCCATGACCCAGCCCCTACTTTTATCTGAGGCTGAAGCTGATATCATCCTCTCCCTCCTCTCTGTTCTGCCTCAACTGTCTCCTTCCAGCCTCATATGCCCTTGCTGCTGCATTCTGACCACAGGGCCTTGAAACATGCTGCTGCCTCTGCTAGGCTGGTGAGTCGACCCCTTGTTAGTCAGATTAATTCCTACACACCATCTGGATTTTGCTTCCTCGGCATCTCTTCAGGGAAGCCCATGCTGTTCCCCAGCTAAATCAAATCTGCATCATCCTTTTGTATTTAATAAACACAGCCACTGTTCTAAGTGCTTTATAAATATTATTTTACCCTCATAAAAATTCTGCAGGGTAGTTACTCTTATTCTCACCCTTTTCCATATGAGAAACTGAAGACCCAGACAGGAAGCACCCTGCCTAAGGTCACAAAGCTAACAGACCAGGAGCCAGAGCTGGGAGCACTCTGCTGGCCCTGGGGCCTGTCCTTCCCCTTAGGTCACAGTGCTTCTGTGTCCTCCCAACACTGTACCAATTACACCGGGGACAGTTCCTGGCCCAGTGTGTGTGTGGGAGGGGGGCAGGGAGTTCCTCGGTACATGAATGAATGAACAGGTGCTGGCAACTATATTTAGAAGACACCTCTCAGGTGGCTACATGTGTGTATTGAGTATGTGTATACAGTCGTCCACCCCCTTATCTACAGCTTTGCTTTCCACAGTTTAGGCTCCCTGGGGTCAACCGCGGTCAGTCCCAAAGCAGATCCTCCTCCTTGAGTATCATCAGAAGGTCAGCAGTCACTTAGGGCTAGGTGGCGCACGAAGCCTGCGTCATTCACCTCGCTTCCTCACGTCTCGTAGGCATTTTATCACCTCACATCAGCACAAGGGTGAGGTGATGAGAGTCTTGAGAGAACTGTGCCCAGTACAGAAACTAAATGTAATCACAGGTCCCCATGTACAGGAAAAAGCATACCCTACACAGGCTTCCATAGCATCTGTGGTTTGAGGCATCCACTGGGCGTTCTGGAAGGTGTTCCCTCAGATAAAGAGGGGACTCCTGGATATGTGCATCAGTATCTGTCTATGTTGCGGGGACAATTTTGTTTTTTGTGTGTGAGATCCTCACTTGGAGGCTGAATCTACAGAACCAGCCAATGAGGCGACAGCGTTGTTACTAACTCAGGTCCATGCCACACATCCCCAGCCTCTGTTGGACAAGCCAAGGGTGTCTGACTTAGTGCATCTGCAATATAAATTTTCCTCTTCCATGGGGCTGGTCGCTATGTTTAACATCGCAGAAGAGTAGGACTCCGAGGATTTTGGCTTGCACAACTTAATAGCTACTGGTCCCCTTCATTGCAATTATGAAAGCAGTGGCTATTAGAACTAGCAGTTAAGATATTAAATAATAACTGTTAACATTTACTGAACATTGCATGCAAGCACATTTGCTAAAGTATGCTAGGTACGTTCCATGAAATATCCAATTTTAATTATTACAAAATCCTGTGAGGCAGAGACCATTATTATCCATGTTTTACAGGGGTGCGGAGTCATTTGGCCAAGGTACCATACTGGTGTGTGGACGACTGTATACACATCCAGACTGCATCTGTCTTACTCAGAGCTTGTGCCCTTCACCAGGAAACATACTGCTTTAAAGTTCATGGCCTGCAGAACTCAGGAATGACTAACAACCTCTGGAATTCTAAGTACAAATAATTGTACATCCATCAGTTCCTGTGATGGTAACTATCTGAAGATCTTCAGGTCTTTTAGAACCATCTTGGTCTTTCAGATAGGTCCAGCTTTACAAAATTTCTCTAGTTCAAATTCAAGCTTGATTTCTTTGCTAATGTGAGATCTGAATTTATAAAGATTGCACATGGAGTCCTGGCTCCTCCACCCTGTAGCTGCGTGATCTTGCCTTACATAAGCCTCTTAGATCCGGTTCCCTGGGGGCAAAATGCAGATGATGGCCCCCCAAAGTTACTGTGGATCAATCACATCCTCCACCTTGCTATCTTGCCATCAAATGCATGCCCAACATTCTGAATGAATAAGAGTGGGCTGTAACTGATGAGCCCCCGTACAACCTGAGGGCTGAGCCAGGAACTGTGGTGGTGGCTTCCAAGACAAGGCACAGAGCCTGTGCTCACGGAGAATTACAGTGCCCCTGGGGAGTTAAAAAAAAGATCTATCTAGATCCTTAAAGAATCTTATACGATGCCCAGTGGGATAAGCCGATTAAGGAGAAGCATCTAGATGGTAGACAACTGCCACCCCGTGTCTGCAACTTCCCAAGTCTGAGCTCTGGGGACAGAACTGAGTGGCCTCTGTCCCCACCTCGCTCCTACAGATGGGATGAGAGACCCAGGGACAACTAAGCCCCACACAGCTGCATCGACTTAGGGGAAGTGGGAGCATGCAACTTTTAACAGCTTGACGATGGGGAGACTGGAGCCTGTCAAAGCAAAGAGACTCTAAAGACCAATAAACACGGTGCAAATAATTCCAAGAATCCTTATGGTTCTCAGCAGAAAAAAGCCTCACGCGAAAATGAGTGTTGTCAGACTTGGGAGTGTGGTTTCTATACTCAGCACTGGTTTTAATTTGTTTTTTCCTAGCTTTATTTACGTGCAACTGACATATAAACAGTGTTGGCCCTCACACTACAGTTTGAAACTGTTTGGGAAGTAAGAGTGAAGAGAAGCTCCAAAGAATTTATGCAAAAAAGAAAAAAAATTAGTTAAGGGCGGAGGAGGGGTGGGGGAGACAAGCCTCTGACTGGCGGCCTGGCAAAGCATGGGTGACATGTCTTCAATGATGAAACTCCCAGGAAAAATCAAATCCATGTGCTTGTGGAAGAGGGGAACGGAAAAGCCTGTCCAGTGTGAAGGGGTTCACTCTCCTAAGACGTTTTTGTCAACGCTTCATTTTAGGCAAGAAAGTGACATAAAGTACATAAGGAGACTCCCTGTGGCTTCCTTTTCCCAAGAGTTCCACACAAATGAGCCCTGCCATCCATTGGCCGAAACAGACGATAATGTAAGCAAAGGCAGGAGGCATTTTCCCCTTACTTTCGCTGAGCGCCCAAGCCATTGCCGTTGGAACTCTGTGCCAAACTCGGGTTTTTTTTTAAAGGCGTCACTTGAGTTTTAAAGGCTACGTAAGTGATGGGAACATAACCGTCTTGGGAATCCACAAATAACTTTTTAAAAAGTCATAAATCTGCATCTCATGCCTCATAGTTTTCAACAACTGCGAGAAATAGGTCAAAGCTCGAGCTCCGTAGGTTCCTTCCCTCTTCAGCGGTTGGAGCTAGTGGCCCTGGGCCTTTTCCACGTGCTTCCACAGTAAATACCTAGGCCCTCCAGCCACACTTGGACCTGAACTGCTTTTCGGTCTCATTTTTCAAAAATCATGATAAAACACCCTTGGAAATAGCTTCTTGGTTTTACAGAACTTTTTCTTTGAGTCTTTAACTGTCTGGTAGGTGGCAAAAAAAAAAAAAAGTTGTAAACTTATAAAAATGCTAGAGCAATTCCACAGTGTACTTTAAAGTTGGGGGGTTCTAAGCCAAGTTTTGGAAGGGGCGGACCACCAGCCACAGGGCGGTGGCAGGTGCCTGTTCTAGCTGCCCCTGAGAAAGGCCTGGGAAGTTTTCGAAACAGCCGTGCAAGGGCCCCCCCCGGGCCAGTTAAGTCCCACCACCTGTGTGGGGGGAGGTGCGGCCGGAGCAGTCGGAGCTTTTAAACCTGAAGTGATTCCAGCGGTTCTCAAACTGGACTGCATACCGCAGCCACCTGGGAAGGAGAAAAAAGACTGCTGGGATCCCCAAACCCCAGACAGTCTGACCTAATTAAAGGGGGCGTGGCCCGGGGAGCAGGAGTTTAAAAATCTCCCTAGGTGACTCTAAAGAGCAAGAAGCACCCAATTATACTCGAAGAGGCTCTGAATAGAAACCAGTTTCCCCGAGGACTGTTCCAACACCTATGATCGAGGAGACAAGGGGGTACTGTGTGCCTCACACTGATCTGTCTACCAAAGAAGAATGACATACGTTCGCGGTCTTAGAAAGCTTGAGAGCTGGAATAAATCATGAAAGCAACTCAGTTTTGGGGATTGCAATTTCAATCCCAAAACAAATCAGCCACCCCACTAAAAGATGAGCCTTCCCTGTTCCCTAGCTGTACGTCTCCAATTCTCTCTGGATTCTCCGAAGGCAGCCACCTGTCTTTCGTCCCCCTTCTCTGCATGCCCCGGGGCTCCCCACCGCATGCAGCCCCACTGAGCCGGCAGGTATAGCCTGGGGCTGGTCGGTCAGGGCTCAGGGTGGCCTCTGAGCTGCACTCCCACCTCAGCAGGGAGTGCTCCCTCCCATCCTTCCTGGCTCCTCTGGTCCCACTGGAGACGCCTGCTTGGGCTGTAGCGCGTCCTGCTGGGGGTGAGCACTGGCCATGCCCCAGCCAGCACTCACCTCCTGGGGCTGACCAGTATCCCACCTGGGTGGCCTTCCTCAACCAGAGCGCTGAGTGCGGCCTGCCAGTCTCCTGCTTGGCCGCCAAGCGCATCCTGGCGAGGACCCAGCCTTACAATATGGACTCCGAGTTTCCCAGGGTTGCAATCTTTTCTGTTTGTTTTCTTTTGGTCTCCACATTTTCTCATGGGCATCTTCCTCCCTCTGAGGTATCTCCATTCCACACTACTGTTCAGTGTGGAGGGGGGAGACAGAAAGAGGCATTTCCTCTGTGCCCTCCCGTCCGCTGACGATCCCCAGCTGTAGGACTCAGGGAAGGCCCTCCAAATAGGGCACAGATCTTGTTTTATAGCAAATGACCAGGACGCCTCATATAAATCAGGCTTTCAAAGAAGCCTTCATTCAAAGCCACATTTTGGATCAAGATTTATAAAATGACCTATTGTGAATTTTACTTTGAGGCCCCTTTATAACCACTATTGTGACTTTCCAAGTTAGAGTGGCTTTTATTTGATTACTCAAAAAACATTTTTTCCTTCTCTTAATTGAGGGTTCCCAGATAATTTATATATTTTAATTGTTATACAAGTAAATGAAACAACTTTATCATTTGAAGGTTTCAAGGATTTGTTTTTCCTTATAATCAGACATATTCTTCAAAGAATGAGGGGGGAAAAAGCACTCTCCAGAGTCCCATAATACTTCTGGACTTAGCTATTCATTGGCTGCTTATAGAAGCCACTGAACTAACCAAATGTTTAAAATCTTGTTTACAAGTTTTTTCTATTAAAGTGAAATTTACCAATCTGCATTTATTATTTTTCTAAAAAGCAAATTAACATTTTCTTATTTTACAAAAGCAATTTCTTTGGTTTCCAGTGCATCAAAATGAAATTTGATATTCTCTATATCCTTCGAATGAAAGTGTAGGCCAGAGGCACCCCCCGGGGTTTTCCAAGACACTCATCCTAGAGGCACACATCTCCCCTCCAGAATCTAGCACACATGGTCTGGCTGCTTAGGCATAAGGATTGTTTTAGAAGAAACAGTGGTTTGTGGCATTACGTCTCAGTTTAAGGACATGTCCTTGTTCATATCTATGATTTATTTGCTGCTGAGTCTTTGGTCAGAAATGCAACCCTGGCCATAACATTTTCCTGACGATCCGCCTTATAGTGTGGTTTCTGGGAACGCATCACAGGGAAAGGCCAGGGACTCCCTGCTCTTAAGTTTCAAAACACTTCCCCCTGGGTGAAACAAATTCTTTTTCAATGGATATGAAGTCCCAAGGGAGTAGGGGCACAGGGAAGGAGGAGAAAAAGGACAACTGACAAACTCTTGGGAAGGAAAGATCCTATCTGGATGTCAACATCTGGAAGAAGATGCCCCCCGTCCACCACCATGAGTGACCCTTATAGATTTTAGGAGCCTGGCAAGAACCGGGGCGGGGGGGGGGTTTGCCAGGAGGGCCTGGGTTCCTTCTGGTTCTACACTCACAGCTGACTGTGAGGTCACGATCCCGAGGACCTCACTCCACCTCTACCCCACCTTAAAGGGGAGATATAAGGAGGAAAAAGGAGGGTGCCTGAGTGGCTCAGGTCGTGATCCCAGGGTCCTGAGATTGAGTCCTATATCAGGCTCTCTGCTCTGCAGGGAGCCTGCTTCTCCCTCTGCCTCTCATGAATGAATGAATGAATGATAGGAAAAAGGAGTAACAGAAGTAACGGAAAGACTGTTGTTGGTAAACCACTTCTCTATGCCCAAGTTCTTAGCCTATAAAACAAAGGGCCAGTACTAGATAATTTCCGAATCTACTTTCTGTGTGGACATTTTTGAGTTGATGGTTCCTTCTGATCAACTTCTTTCCTCTTACTCCTTTGTACTTAGCAACTCATTTCCCACCCACCCCATCAGCTAATTTCAAAAGCTCCTACTGTACTTGGTTTTATAGTTCGAAGAAACTGGGTCCATATTATAAAAATATGCTGGAAATTCAGACATTCACTGGAACATTCCATTGTATTTTAACCTACTCAAGCCATTAGTCCTGGAGGTTTATTAGGGGATTTGGGCGGGGGGGGGGTTTCTATTTGATGCTGTTTTTTTAATTCATCATTAGGGTACTGGAGTCCAACCCAGAAACCATTGGAATGGTCCAGTTTCTACTTTTCTATTGGCTGTGGGTGTGTTCACCATCCTTCCGGAAGCGCTGTCCCTGGCAAGGCAGAGTGCAGGAGTGATTCAACGCCTGAAAGCCCCTCTATCTGGTGCTGTGGTTGCAGGCAGTGAGGACAGCTGGGATGAGGGGGGCTGAGGACCAGCCTCTCTCCGCTCCTCAACCAGACAACCTTTCCAACGAAGCCTGTTTCCTACCTGCTGGAAATGGTGTGAGAGCCAAAAGAGACAAATGCCATAGGGCTTCACAAAAGTAAAACATCACATAAAAAAGAGAAAAAGTTCTCAAACTTTAAAAAAAAAAAATCTTAGTTGAATACCGGCTTGTAAGCTTATAAATGTTTGATATTGTAGCCAAATTATTTTTAAAAACTGACTTGCAAATCAAGTATTATAAAAAAGTGCACCTATTTTCATGGAGATCAAATACCTCAATAGACCTACTTTTTACTGTAGCATAGAATCACCACATTCAGAATACAGCCATACCTCCAATATATTGCTGGTTTGGTTCCAGACCACCACAATAAAGCAAATACAGCAAAACAAAGTGAGTCAAATGAATTTTTTGCTTGCCTAGTACATATAAAAGTCATGTTTATACATACTGTGGTCCACTGAGTGTGCAATAGCATTATGTCTAAAAAACCAATGTACACACTTTAACTTAAAAATGCTTTGTTAAAAAAAAAAAGAAGATAGTAGGAAGGGAAAAATGAAGGGGGGGAAATTGGAGGGGAGATGAACCATGAGAGACTATGGACTCTGAGAAACAAACTGAGGGTTCTAGAGGGGAGGGGGGTGGGAGGATGGGTTAGCCTGGTGATGGGTATTGAGGAGGGCACGTTCTGCATGGAGCACTGGGTGTTATGCACAAACAATGAATCATGGAACACTACATCAAAAACTAATGATGTAATGTATGGTGATTAACAAAATAAAATTTAAAAAATTAAAAAAAAAGAAAAAATACTTTATTACTAAAAAATGCTAGCTATCATCTGAGCTTTCCAAGTTGTAATCTTTCTGCTGGTGGAGGGTATTACCTCATTGTTGATGGTTGCTGGTTGACTGGGATGGTGGTAGCTGAAGGTGGGGTGGCTGTGACAATTCCTTAAAATAAGACAAGGAAGTTTGGCACATCGATCAACTCTTCCTTTCACGAATGATTTCTCTGAGCATGTGGTGCAGTTTGATATCATTCTATTTAAAATTTTTAATCTTAATTTCAGTGTAGTTAACATACAGTGTTGTATTAGTTTCAAGTGTAGAAATATAGTGATTCAACAATTCCGTATATTACTCAGTGCTCATCATGATGAGTGTACTCTTTTTTTTCTTAAGACTTTATTTATTTGAGAGAGTGAGCGATAGAGAGTGAGAGAGAGCAAGCACGAGTGTGGGAGAAAGGGCAGAGGGAGAGTGGGAGGCAGGCTCTCCACCGAGCAGAGAGCCCGATGCGGGGCTCGATCCCAGAACCCTGAGATCATGACCTGAGCCGAAGGCAGACGCTTAACCATCTGAGCCACCCAGGCGCCCCATGATAAGTGTACTCTTAATTCCCTTCACCTATTTCAGAATATTACTACAATGGAATGTTACTCAGCCATAAAAAAATAACCAAATCGTGCCGTTTGCAACAACATGGATGGAGCTAGAGAGTATAATGCTGAGTCAGTCAGAGAAAGACAAATACCGTATGATCTCACTCATATGTGGAATTTAAGAAAGAGAACAACTGAGCACTTTGGTAGACTTTTACCCACAGACCTTCCTTCACGTAGGGGTCCGT